GATGAACAACAACTACTTAGAGAGCGAATTTTCTAAATGGAAAGGTATGGTAATAGCATCCCACTTTTATGAATATTTTAAACCATCCTTTTAAAAAGTATGCAATGCTGAATGGTTTTCAAGCTGACTGCCTTTTAGTTCTGTTCCCATTCTCTGATAATATTTGAAACTGTTGCCAAGAGGTAGAATTACTCAGTAGGAGAAGCTTCAAAAGTAAGTTCCTAAGAAATTTCCAAAGCCTAGCAAGTAATCAATTGATGTACACTTGCTGATGTGCCAGCCAGTCCACACTGTTGTGGCGGGGGATTCATGCCATCATATGGTGTCTCTTGCTTGGATAGTACTCAAGAAGTGTAGGTTGGAGCCCTGTTTCATCTTACCTTCTCACTTGTAATAAAGATAGGACGTTCATAACAGTGTTCCTTCTTGCACCAACTGGGAGCTTGTACTCAGTTGGTATCAAATCTTCCATGTTCTGCAAAGAGCTATGGCTGTCTACTTTAATATCTTTGTGCCTGTTCTCACGGCATGCCCAGCACTAAGCACATTCAATCTTTATTCTATTGAGATAGTGAGGTGCAATTTTAATTTTTCCCCTATTAAAAAAAAAATTGGCCTGATCAGAGTTGCAAACAAAACCAGGGGATGGAGTTAACACTATTTTCCTGAACCTTAAGTTAACATCTCAGAGGAAAGGAAAAGAAACTGCAAAGTAAATAGTGGAAAGAGGAGCCCAGAAATGACTAAGCTGTGGCTATCAACAACACAGGTAGGCCTGAAACTACCCAAAAGGCTGAATTCTCTCTCTTTTTTTTTTTTTTTTAAATGATTGACTTTCCTCAAAATACCAGTGCATCTCTTGTACTGAGCACCTCCTCTGAAAAACAAATCCTTCTTTTCTAGACTGTGAGCTTGACTTGCAGCCCAACCACCTGACAGGAGCAGCAGACTACCTCATCTTGATCGACACTGCATTTGTCTTTGCTACTAGTTACCCACCACTCATGAGACCAGAAAGGAAAGTGGATGTCATTTTGCATTTCAACTACAGTTCAGGTTCCCAGACCAGGGTGAGTGTTATACATTCCTCTATAATGACCTCTCTGCTTCATCATTCACTTTCCAGAATGGCCAATCCTCTACTCAGAGAACATCTTTTTTTCAACATTTAGGGAGCAATAAGAAGCTAACAGTTTACTGGGGTCACATGCATTCATTGAGCACTATGTTGTTATCAGTAAAATATGCATTTAGTAAACAGATCCTGCCCATTTTATGTGTGAATGTGTTTCACTTGATCTGAAGGCAGTTAGATGTAGAACCCACACAGCTGAAAATGTTTAAAAATTTAATTGTGACTCTGTAACGCAAAGACTGAACAGCCAGGTGTGATTCAGACCACCTGCTACCTGGCCTTCCAGAGCTGAGCTCCACTGGCTACCTACTTTATGTACACAATTGGGTACATGCCATAATCTGTCAGAACTTGGCCCTGACCCCACAAGCCTTCCTGGTAAAACTGGAGTTTGCTCAAATTTAAAATATCGCTGCTATGTTCTGATGCTTTATTTCATTTTCATTTCATATGATGGCAAACTAGCCTCTGAAAGAAGCCTCTGAGTACTTTGCAAAACAAGGAATTCCTTTCCCTAAGGAGGTGCCAGATGATCAGGAAACACCACATCTGAAGGAATGTTACATTGTTGGTGAAAAGGAAAGCCCAGAAACCCCTATTGTGATATTCTTCCCTCTGGTAAATGACACCTTCAGGGAATACAAAGCACCTGGTAAGTTTATAGTCACCAACCACACCGTCAGAGGCAGCAGCCTTTTACATTGTCTTTTCTACTGTACAATATCTGTTACTCAGACCACCCTATAAACATTTGTAGGCTCAAATTCCCTCTTCTTATATCTGAACCGTACCAAAGAGATGAAAATATACAAGTTTTCCTCAAAAATAGAGCAGCAGCTGAGATCAGCCTTGAACAAAAATGCCTTTCTTCAAAATTTGTTTATTTATTTTGGCTTTTCATAGGTAGGTTCTGGAATTAAACAACGGAAAGTGTATTCTGTTTATCTGCAATGGCAGAAATTAGCAGGGCTATTTCCTCTCATACCTCTCCTCCTTGCCTCTTCTGGAATACCCTTGGGAATCTGAAGGATTTCGTTGTTTAAAATCATTTCCAGGCTTGCAGTTAATGCAGATAACCTTGAAAACAAAAGTGTGAACCAGTGAAGCGATGAAAATTATAGCTGAGGCACACAGTCAGTTTCTGCGCACTTTAGAAACTTTTAAAGAATTTAAATAGCAACATTGCCAGTCATTTCAAAACAGATGAATCTTGACAGAGCTCTATTCTACCCCCGATAGTGTCGAAAGTCTTGGTTACTGCTTCTGATTCTAACTAGAATCCCTACCTTATGCTATGAGATCACTTTTTAATCACTTCAAAGCCCCACAGTGTATTGAAAAACCAGAAGTTCTGAGGTGGTATATAGTATATGAAATATAATAACAAAACATCCAGTAACTACTGCCCCTTTTTTCCTTTTCATTATTTTTTAAGTAAGCCATAAAAAGTCTGCTGCCTTGCAGCTGGACCCAGTCTCCAAGGCAGCAGAAAAGACCTGTGCAATCCTTGGGAGGCTGGGAATGCATAGATATAGGAATGCTCTCTGCTAGCAGTGGGCAGACAGAAGCTTAGAATCACTGAATCATAGAATGGCCTGGGTTGAAAAGGACCATAATGATCTTCTAGTTTCAACCCCCCTGCCGTGGGCAGGGTCACCAACCATTAGACCAGGCTGCCCATCCAACCTTGCCTTGAATGCCCCTTGGGATGGGGCATCCACAAGCTCTCTAGGCTTATAGTGCTTCAGTACTGTGCCCTTGCCCAAATCCAGACCATACAGCATCTGAAGTACCAATTCCATTATGTAAACGGGTGGCTATTCTATATCAAGCTCATCCACCAGGTTGTATAGCAAAGGGAATTTCAAGCCTGATCAGCACTAGTGCCCATTTCTGGGTTGTCACTGCTCTCTTTCCCTCATGGCAGCTATTTGTTAGAAAATTGGGCGATATGTGGGAATGACGTGGAAGGAAGAAAACATGGGTGAGTCCCCATACCAGGATAGGACGCTGGCATACTACAGTGTCTCCCCTCCTTCAGGTCTCTTGCCCAGGGCGAGGACCCTCAGCAGTGCATCAGCAGTCAAAAGCATAAGCTGGAGCCCAGGAATTGAGCAGTGCTAAAACAGCAGTTAAATCAGAAACCCTCTTGGTGTGAGCATAGGGAATCAATGGTCAGGTCCAACTGAGATCAGCTTTTCGTCTGAGTCACAGGTGACATATGAAGGCAGAAAAAAAATAAGTGATGTGCACTTTTGATACCCATGAATTTGTTGCAATTTGTGATTCCAGGATAAGCCTTGGGTGTTTTTTTCCCAAGTACCAACAACACACTGTGGAGGTTCCTATAAATGTCTGCTCTCTGATAGCCTGCAAATCAAGTTCTAAATAGCTTTCTGTTGTTAAATGAATTAAATAAGTTAATAGAATTTGTCTTCAGATCATCATATATGATGAATCTAATATTTCCAGAGACTACACCTGTGGGACTGCTTGCCTGGTTATTTTCCTTGGGTCTGTGATGTATATGCTGATTATGCTGGGATGATGAATTGGGCTTGAAAGGTTGTCAGCATCTCAGCCATATCTCAGGAAACATTAAGTCCAGCAGAGCAACTGACATTACGTAAAGCTTGTAGTTTTTATAGCAGCAGGTAGCTTGAAGAAATTGCAGAAAATATTTATGCCATTTACTGCTGGGCTGTGTTCCAATCATGACTCTGTGAAGTCTCTGAGTTTAGACAAGAGAATGTCACTTTTAAGATCTGTTTTCTGTATCTTTTAAAAATTCTTCCCAGCATGCAACAAGAGTTGCTGAGCAGATTATGCAGAGCCAAGGGAGAGCTGAGGTTGCTGAAAAGGCAGCTCCGCATCTGGAAAGCTCGAATCAACTACTGAGATGTCTGGATTTTCAGCAGTCTATTCTGGAGATATAGCAGTGAGGGATAATAACATATGGAGGGTTAGAAGGAACAGAGACTGGCAATGGCATCAAAAGCTTACTGCCTGGAAAGAAACTGCTGTAGTGAAGCCCTGGCTGTGGTTACCTGCTTTGGGGGACAGGGAAGAAAGAGGGAAAGAGTAAACATGATTCAATTGCTGCCTTAGCTGGAAATAGAAGGTACTGCAATGTCCAGGACACAGCAGCAAAGTGAGGACTGGGGAGCATCAGCACCATGTGTGGCCTGGTGACCTGGCTGCCACCTTGCCCCAGCAGTAAAATATCCCAGCAACAAAACACCTCTGAAGGGAAATCTTTGGGTTGTAATCAACTATGTGTGCATGCCTGAGAGGTGCCTGACCCTAATGGCTGTTCTACTGATTAACCAAGTCACTGTTTGTCCCTTAGGGGTGAGACGTAGTCCCTCAGAGATGGCAGATGGTGATGTTGATGTTACCAATAGCTGTGGTCCATACTACATAAACAACCTGAGTTATTCAGAAAAAGATTTTGACAAACTGGTGAACCTAAGCTACTACAACGTCCAGAATAATAAAGACCTGATTCTCCAGGCCTTGCGTGCAGCGGTGGAACGGAAAAAGCAGCAAAAGAAACAGCAACCACTGCAAAAACCACCACTTCCAGCTGATGATGACATGGGTGTGCCCAACAGAGAGGTGTCCCAGCATCTGCCCACCTGCTCAACAGTAGAGAAAATGAAATAAAACATCCACAAGCACTGCTAATGGAAAAAAAAAAAAAAAAAAAAAAGAAGAAGAAGAAAGGAACTTGCCTAGGTAATGAAAAGCCAAAGAGTGCTGAAAACACTTTGTCATCGGAAGTGCTGCAGCCTGTCTGTCAGTGAAGGACATAAACACACAAAGCTGGGCTTTTCCTTAATGAATTAATGTCCTTCCCTCGCTGACAAGCCCCAGAGCAGGGCTGGGTGCAAGGTGCTGTGCTCCTGCTTGCAGAAGTGACCCTTCAGGCCAAGGCTGCATTCTATGGACATGAGGGCACTGGTTGCTGATTTTCTACCTGCACTGTAATAAGAGAGGAGCATAAGTCTGGAACTGCAACGGAGAACAAAATCCATTGTTTCTAAATCAAAACCTATTTGGGAGCTAAGGATTCTTTGTGTGAATGTAAATAAATATTAAGCTTTATACAAGAAGACTTTTTTTTAAGTCAGAGTAATAGGAAATAAATATTTTTTTGCAGCAAATACATGATATAGAATTTTTTTCTAGGAGCCTCTTCCTCTACTAGCAAGCCAACTTAAACATGAGATGCAGACTTACTTCATAGCTTCTGAGAATGTGCTGAGGAATCCATGCCACTTGCTCCAGGCCTGGGTGTGAAGTGTCCCAGGAGCCTGACACCATTTAAATTCCATGCTCTGCTCTATGAGAACTGATTTACACTAGTTTATTTAGTTAAATCACATTTAAGTGTTAGTGCTACATGTTGAAGGCCTACAACTTTTTGTGACTTTTTAACTTGTTGCCAAGTAGTCCAGCAGTTAGCTTCTGCAGAAGTAGTCCATTTTCCTGATACAGATACAGCAGGTTTCATAGCACTTGGATATGGTGCTTCGTGGGAGCCTCACTGGAAAATGCTGGGCACCATGGTGGGAAGTAAGAATCAGGCTCTGCTGGAGTGTAGAGAAGGACAATCTTCTGTGTGGACAATCTGGGAGCTTAAAGTTATCTGCAGAAGAGAACACATACACAGGAGTGGATTAGAGAGGAATATATATAGAAGACTGCAAGAGAGAGAAGAGCAGTTCATTTGATTGCTGAGTGAAACAGCTTAAAGCATCTCTGATGCTTAGTCTGGAGAAGAGGATGCTTAGAGAAGACTTTATCACTCTTTACAACTGCCTGAAAGGAGGTTGTGGTAAGGAGGTGATTGGCCTTTTCTCCCAGGTAACAGTGACAGGATGAGAGGGAGTAGCCATGAATTGCACCAGGGGAGGTTTAGGTTGGATATTAGGAAGAATTTCTTCTCAGAAAGAGAAGTTGAGGCATTGGAACTGGCTGCCCAGGGAGGTGGTGGAGCCACTGTCCCTGGAGGTGTTCAAGAACAGTGTGGAAGTGGCTCTGAGAGATGTGGACATGGTGGGGATGGGCTGACAGCTGGACTAGATGACCTTAATGATTCTGATTCTATGATGGCTAGATGAGAGGTATGAGTTTCTAATTGCTGAAGCACTGTACTGCTGTACATTGAACTTAGTTTGACTGCTGTGGTTTGACATGTGAAACCCCAGTCTTTGATTATTCTTTTTCTAAAGTAAGAGCAGTTTCTATTCAGTGTTACTGACACACATATTCACAGGCCTGAAGGCTCTTGGTATGTTTCTTACAGGCTTTCCTGCCCATCAGTTCTCCTGTAATATGTTTCAGCAAGAGACTGTGGGACAGAAATGGAAGCCTTACAAATGCCTTTGCTCTTAAGGTCAGAGGTCTCTTCCCAGCTGAAACACAGGGATGTAAAACTGTTTAGCACTGGGTCAGCACATGCTCACCTCCTGGAGCATGCTGCAGAGCCTGCACAGCTCTCATGTGCTGACGGTTACATCCCATGGAAAGCAGAGTGTGTGCGCTGGTGCTCCTCGCAGTATGGGGCTGGATGCAGCCAGAGGGCACAGCCAGACCTGGGAATCTGGAAGTGCTCCCAGTTACCCACATATGGTCAGAGCTTTATTGTCTGAAGGGCAAACTGTCCTGCTGACAGCAGGAAGCGTGCAGGCAGGAAGTCTGAAGACAAGCAGAGCTAGGTGTTTGAGAGCAAGCACTGCCCTGCCCTTCCTGCTGCTTTCCAGCTGCCACAAAGGGGTCATGGAGAACAATGGGCACTTTACCCCACTTCACAAAGCACAGAGTGGGACTGAAATAATAACTCATAGCTCTGAATTCCCTATATTCAGCAAGAACACAGGGGAGAATGACAAGGATGCCCAAAGAGGTGGAACAGCTTCCACAAAAGGGACAAAGAGATAAGGCATCTGCAACCTAAGGAAGGGATGACTGGAATGAAATGCAGGGAACAGCATGCACTGCAAAATCTGCACTGAGCCACCAACCCCAAAAATCTGCAGAGCCACCAACCCCAGAGGCAGCAGACAGCCCGAGGGAGCATCACAACTCCCTTGCCCTCTTTGATGCTCTCTTGCCTCAGTGCTGGCTGCTATCAAGGACCAGAAGGAAAGAGGCCTGACTCCCCACTCAGATATTTTTGCAGATAATAAATAATCAGGAGCATTCAGAATTTGTAAGAGCATTTCACAGAATGAGGAAGCCAGGCAACAGGGCCCTTCGTGAAGCAGCATAAAATGTTTAGACTCAGCATGGAAATTGCAACAAAAGGGTTGCAAAACACGTGTGTAGCCCTAAATAAAATGTGAAGCAAGGAAGCGAGGCTGAACACTGGTACAGCTGGAAGCTGTTCTTTTAGGGAACAGCACAAGGAGGGTGGCAGGGAAAGGGCACAACTCAAGCTGATGATGTGCTTGGGAAGGAGAGGGAGTATAGAGAGAGTGTAACAGTCACAGTGGAAGTGAGAAGGAAAGAAGGTAAATAGCTAAAACTGTAGGTCAGTGGGCTCAGTAAGGTGCTGGGCCTGCCAAAAGGGATTTAGATTATAGGGATATCACAGAACAAGCAATGATGTCAGATTGCAACACAAAGGAAGCACTTCCAACGTTCTGTTTAATCACAGATTCAGAAGAAAATCCCCACTTTTTTTTCTTTTTCTTTCT